ATTTTTGCTTTCTGTGAAGCACTTTGTGATGTTTGTGTCTGTGAAAGGTGCTATAGAAATAAAGTTTACTTACAAACAAACAAACAAAACGTCAACTCCTTCTCGAGCAACAATCATATGGATTTACATATTAGTTCATATTTTTCAACAGATCAACTGGTTCACAAATGTCTCCATCCCCTCAAGATTGTAACAAAACTCTCTTAACAAAATTTAATTTGTTTTAAAGGTAATATGAGTCCCATACATAACCTATAAAATAATATAATCAACCAGCTCAAAGTTTTAATAATTCAGTTGATAAAATAATGTATTTGATGAGTGACTAGTGTTTTTTTTAAAACAAAAATAGGATTTGTAATTGTTTTACATACTTTCCCCCAGACTACAACACAATAAACTAAGTGTGGGACAATTATTACGTTATTTAATGATAAAGCTCTCTTTATTTTAACTCGTCATACAGTACTGCAAGAGATTTAGCTTTTTGTGTTCTAAAATTATTTGGTTTCCATTTCATCTTTTCATCAATGACACCCAGAAACTTCACCTCACTTGAGTCTACATTAAACTCTACAGTCAACACCATCAACTCTAAATGGAACATCATTAGTTTTCAATTAAATATCACACAATTAGTTTTATTCAGATTTAATGATAATTAAGTTTGAAACCAAGTTAGTATTTTTACAAAAAWTTTTCTGCGTTATTTCCAACATTTGTTCTCTCTTTACCCAAACACAAAAATGTGTCGTCAGCAAACAGAACACATTTAAACAACCCTGACACCTTTACTAAATCATTCACAAAATAACTTTGGTCCAAGTACAGAACCCTGAGGAACTACACGTTATATGACAGTTCAGATCTTACATCATTTATTTATACAAACTGTTTCCTATCTTTCAAATAACTAGATACCCACTGTAGACCGCTCCTCTTAGACCATATTTATGTAGCTTTTCAAGATGAAAACTGTGGTCAATAGTGTTGAATGCTTTCTTTAAATCAACAAATACTAGCACAATACTGTTGGCACAGCCCATGACTGTATGACTCATGACTTTTCAGACAATGAGGAAGAGGAGGAGGAAGGAGGAGATGCAGAAATGGAGGATAATCCAGAAGAGCTGGCTGAAGGGGATGCCACGGCTGAAAAGGTACTTTTTAACGTTAACAGTGGTGATGAGGAGCAGGGTGGTCCATGTTTTATGTCCAACAGACTCCTGTAGCAGACAGGGTTTAAGATGTTTATCACGGAGTGGACAGGAGGAAACATGGAGTCGGGGTGGTCCTGGTGGAGTTATCAGGTGGGAACAGGTGGAAGAGAACATAGAGAGGTGAAGGTAATGCACCACAGCTTACAGACGTTTATATTTATGTATTAAAATGTTACACAGGGTTTCCCCTGGATTTTTTTTAACTGTGGTGGTGGATAACAGGACAACAGGTTGGCAAAACCTGGTTGTCTGCAATAAAAATTTAATTTAATAAGCAGGCTATATTGTTCTMTATACAAGTTTACTATATACAAATGTTCTCAGTCAGCAGGTTTCAGGAGCTGCTTGAGTAAAACTTCCTCCTCCTCGTCTTTGAACTAGAGACCAAAAATCAAAATCCATAAGATTTCTGCTTACAGGTCAAACATTTTCATTTAAATAGGAGTAAACTGTGAACATGACCTTATTAAAAGTTACAGTTTAGTGTTCTTAAGACTGAAGACTTTCTGAGGAAAAATATTTTTAAACATCTTTTCTATAATTTTAGTGTTTTCAACTGAGGAGCTTTGATATATTAATTTTTAAAAAATTTAGCACAGGAAGTTCTCTGCACAGAAAAATAATTTTTTACTTTTTTTTTAAACCAAACTGACAGTTTCTCCAGTAAAGTTATTGTGTAATTTAAAGGCACTGAAACGCCTGGTTAAATTTAGAAGATGTTATGATTTAACTACAAGCACCTGAAGCTGACTTAAAGAACTCTGTGATTTTAGGAAAAAAATGAAAGTCAAACATAGACACTAGGGATGCAAGTTATCGATTAATGGATTAATCTAAAGTTGATTTTCATCGATAGATTAACAAATTGATAATTGGCCATTTTCCTAAAAACTGGCTGARATTTCTCTTTCTATAACATGAAGGGCTAATTTTTTACACACTAAATTTAAAGAAGTACAGTATTATTTTAACAATTCATTGTGCCAGCTGTGAGTAAACACTGACTGAACAGAGAAATGTGGATTTCTCTCGCATTATTAAACTTGGACATATTTATAAAATATAATAAAACAGAAATCTGTTAAGTTGCTAGTTGGGGGTGGGGGGGAATGAAAGAATAAAATAAGTAAAACACTTAATCCACCCTGAAGATGAAAAACTAATTTAAACAGGGTAATATTTTAAAATAAAGATTAACTCAAAAACAGACTAGAAACATAATAAAAATTATCCCTGAAAGACGTGAGATACAAATGAGTACTGGCGATTGTTAGTTTGTTTATATTCCCTCCGCTTCTATCTTAGCTGGGCTGCACAGCATGKTCTGACATCAGTTACTGTTTATTAAATTGGTTTACTGGCCGGGTTGTGTCACACAGATTAGGTTAACTTCAAGTTAAGTATTTGTAGCGATTGTAAATTTTGTTGTTGTTCTTTCAACAAGAGGAAGCTAATGTTAGCCACAGTTAGCTTATCGTTCTCTGTCATCCTGCTCTCTTGTCTTTAGCGTCATACTGCTGGATGGTCTGGTACAGCCTCCTGTACTTTTCCTTCCAGTTTGGTGTAGTCCATTATTATTGTTGTGTCACGAATAAAATTAAAGAAGACTCGCGCATCTGTGGTCCTGCCCACATCAAGACAGCTCTCTGCTCAGCTCAACAGGGCCAGGGTAGAGTTAAGGCCAGGCTGAGGGTAACCGCATCCTCTGCTGGATGAAGTCAAAACTACACTAAAACTAGATGCTGCATAGCGGCAATATGACCCCCGCACGTACAAATGCACCAGAACTCAGAAGTCTTTATTCCTAACAGATGTCATGCTACTAGATGCATCTGAAAATTGTAGTGGTTTGGGTGGGGGTCTGTTTTTTTTTGGTGGGGGGGTGGGTGTATCATTGGTTGACCTGATGGATAGCCCCTCATCAGAGCTAAACAACAAAAGAAATCTGAAGCTCCTATGTTTAATAGTTTCTGAGTTATATGCATTTTTGCATGTCCAGACACCCACTATTTTGATGGAGCCCCCTCCTCAAAAATGGGGTGTATCGTAAAGCTGTTGGCTGGCGCAGTGTAGGTCAGACTCATCTACAGTCCTGCCAAATTTCATGTTGATTGGTGCAGCCGTTTTTGTGCTACAGTTGACCTAAAATCACTGGAAGAAAAAAAACAAACAGTATAACAATATGACTTGCGCTTCGCGTGCGGGGGTCATAATAAGGTTTAAACTAATGTTTTAAATTAATCGAATGGAAGAAATTTTAATTTAATAAATCATTATTCGACAATTAATCGTAAGTAGATTAATTGTTAGCATTCCTAGTAGACACTAGGGGTACAACAATACATATACCCGTATCGAACTGCTCAATACGCACTTGTATCAAACAATACAGATTTATAAAATTAATTTTATCAACTTGTCTTCTGAAGATGCTCTGTGTTGAAGGATCAGAGGATCTGTATTCAACTACTCTGTATTTTCGAGCGCAGATCCACTGAGAAACTTGCTGTTTCAGCAAAATTTAAGTTTAAATTTAATTTAAAAACGGTACTTTTGAGGTTAAACAAATGTTCATAAATAGTTTCAATACATTACAAGTTAAAAAGGGTATGGAAATTTCAGTTATTTGTATCGAAAAAATATCGAACCGTGAGACTGAAGTATCAAACCGAACCGAATCGTGAATTTTCTGTATTGTTGCACCCCTAGTAGACACGTCTTTAATAGACACTGCCCCACCTGCATGTGATTAATACAGATTTTTGATGCTCATTTTATACAAGTAGCCATCTGAAGGGGTTGACTTGTGGACTCTGAAGTCCCGGGCTGGTCGGAGCTGCGCTGCAGGTGGACAGGTGCAGCAGCTGCGGTCAAACTGCCTTCCAGCCCCTGTTTTAAAACCAGTCAGGTGATCTGTCATGGTTTTATTGGGCTCATGAACACACTGTTACGGTGGAAATGCTGTGAGGTGCTTTTAGAAATATAATATGTATAAAATACGACATAATCCTCAGAAAATAAGTCCAGGAAATGCTGAGGACTTTCCTGGGTTGTCTCTAACATGATTGTGTCAACCCCTGTTTTACATTGATAAAAAAAACCTTCATTCTGAAGGTGTGGTGGCTTTTATTTAGCTGTGGTGGAGCGCCACAATCAGTTACATGTAGGAGAAACCCTGCTTACAGACCATGAGTGGAGCTGCAGAACCTGTAACATCACTACCCACCTCCTCTAGCCAAGTCCGTGCAATTTATTCTTAAATTCCTCTGGCTTCATGAAATAATAGCCTATATGCCACGGTCATTAATGACATATTTCCGGTAAAATTCTTGCCACGCTCCTCCCTTCCCTTCCTTCTAACTGCCAATTAGCTGCTAGTACTAGTCCGTGAAAAAAGTCACAAAATTTAAAGCATCTGTGATCTACTGGTATAAAACGTGAGTTGTGTTGTGTGCCGTTGTGTCCACTAAGCAGCAGATACGATCGAGTTGTTAGTTTTTATCCTTTTTCCTCTTGATGAGGAGGTGACAGCAGTGGATCATAGCATTACAGGGAAAACTTATCTTTAAAAGCTCATACTTGCATTTGTAATCAGCATTTCTAACCTGAGGATATTCAAGAGTCAGCATCAGAAATGAGAAGACGGAGGTTAGAAAAGGGAAATGTACATTTATCCCCTTTTACTGCCAAGAGAGAGGAAAGACCTCCTCCACAGGACAGCTAGCAGGAAGCTAACACAGCAGCCGGTAAAGGTAGGTGCGTGCGCGCATTTGTGTTATATGAAATGTTTTTATGTGACTCTATCATGAGTTTTATGCAAAAGTAAAACCTTGTTAGAGTGTATATTACAGCGTAGACTAAAGCCGAGTGACGAGCGCCTCCCCCCACCCGCCCCGAGCACTGAGAGCAGCAGAACCTCCGCCTGATAATCATTAAGTTTTCAGTTCACAACATCGGGGAAAACGATCCAAACCAAACAAGTAGCCCATCAATTTAAAGCCCAGACTCTGCTCTTTCTAACAATATAAGTGTCACAGCTCTACGTGAAACATTCACTGAACAAGCAGCTAAGGAATAGTGAAAAAGGCTAAATTCTGGAAACACAAACGTCTTTCCTTTGTTTTTATGGCTTTAATCCACTTTGGAGTGATTTTTTTTTCCACTTGGCTGGACCTGTACGTCTCCTGTGTTAATGTTGGTACYTGTAATATGCTAATTCTGTACTGTGGAGATCATTAAGCGTCGTTGTCGGGTGAAAAAATCTTTCGCTAACACAGTGTTGACCGTGAACCGGAAGTGTTGGGAGTGGCATTAAGTGCTGGACCGGATGTCCCTGGCATATAGGCTATTGCAGTCACCCACATACCACTGGCAAAGTATACAACATTTACAGAGCGGGAGGATAATTAAGGACAGACAGAAATGTCTCATATCTTGGCAAACTCTTAAAGGGGCAATATCATGTAAAATCAACTTTTTTGAGTTTTTTTATCATGTTATGTTATCCTCATCAAAAACATGCCCAGAGTTTTGCTTTGACTCAATCATGCATGTTTGAGAAATCCTGTAGTGTCCTGAGGCAGCCTAGTCTGGTAAAAACCAGACCCTGTCCTTCACTTTGRTTCGTACYAYGGTCTGGACTTGCTGCACAGAGAAGTGTTTCTTGCAGGAGGCGTGGCCTCTGCTGAAGTGTGTGTGTGTGTCGTTGTGAAGGAGGCTAAGCTAAGAAGCTAACCAGAAATCACGTGTGCTGTAAACAACCCTACTGAGAGGAGAAATATWCCGAACCGAACGAGACGACTGTAAATGAGAGCTGCTGCTTTGTCAGACAAATTTATTTTAATTATGAAGCCTTATCAACACAGACTGGCTTCATTCACTTCCTCCACTGCCGTATGCTAAAATAACTAACAGACACTGCGCAGAACATCGACGTCATTCAAAACTCCTCCTTCTGTTCTCTGATTGGTCCAGGTAAAATAAACTACAAGCAGACACTGCGCAGAAAATTGACATTCTCTTCTCTGATTGGCCCGGCTAAAAATCTGCCAGCAAAATCCTTGTCAATGGGAGAAGTCCCAGACGGAGCAGAGAAGGGAAACTAGAATTGAGCGGAGCTGCGTAGGAAGGCAAGGGCCAGGCTACCTCCTCTGGACTGTGTCTCCAAGCTGAGCTTCCTCATCACAGAGCACAAACATTAAAATCCAGCTCCACGTATTTCTATTGATGTCATTTACCCGCAAGAAAATTGTGTGATGGAGGTCCATGGAAGGCAAATAGGTTTTAAATCAAATAAGAGGATTTAGTTAAAATAAATAAAAGGTATTCAAGCTACGTTTTGAGCATCCAAAACACGTCCAACACTTCAAGCTGGCTGCTTGTGCTCCTTCAGGTCAGARGTGTTCWGACTGTCAGGAAGCTCCTCTGTTTTCCTCTGTCGGTCTCTGTTTAATGGTGGATGAAATAAAGAAAGTGGCGGTACTTTATTTACTTTGAGCAAGCSAACGTCYRGTTCACAAGATAATTAATCCACCAGATAATTCAGAGGTGGTCTGTTCGGTGAGTTCGGTGAGGCTCGCTTTCAAGCTACGTTCAGACTGAGCTCTGTTTACTGAACCAGCAGCTGCTGACGTCATTACGCTCTTGTGCGATGCTGCGTTCAGGACAAGCATGGAAAACCCACCACGCTTATGCTACGTTCACACCGAACGCGTTTTGAGCGGCAGTAGTGGCCGATTTACATGCAAAGTCTATGGTGGACGCGCCTCTAGGGGTCGTGCGTAGCGTCACGTACGTTTTGGGCGGCGTGGAAGGAGTGCAGAGCGTTTTCCACGCATGCGGTGCTGCGGAAGCCGCTGCCGCCAGAGTTCAAATATCTGAACTTTTCGCCGCTCGACGCGTCTCCCACTGAAAACTGAAACAGACGGACTGGAGATTTTTACCTGAAATCGAGCGTGTGCAGTTGGATTTTCTGGCAGGATAGATCAGCACCGATGTGGATCAGCTGCTTTGGACCAAAAAAAAAAAAGTTCATCAGCTGGCAGCTTCTGAAGTGACGAAACTAACCAAACAAATCGCCTCTAAATCATCTGGTGAGTTATTATCTGCTGTGCGCAACGTTCGCTTGCTTTTTAGTAAATAAATCAAAGCCATTTTCTTTCATTTTATCTTTATTCACCCGCCGAGGACAGGCTCCTCCCACACCCRGCTGCTGCCGCTTGTTCTGGTCTGAACACTAGTGCGTTCTTCGGTCTGAAAATAGTGCGTCCAACGAGAGACGTTTTGCGCTTTTTTGGCCGCTCAAAACACGTTCGGTGTGAACGTAGCKTTACACCAATTTGGTCACAATGATGCGTTTAGGTACTGAAACATGGTACCGTTTGATGTTATAGATACTGGGTAGTACCAACAGAATTCGGTCTGTACTTAAAAAAGTATCGAATTCTGTACCCATCCCTAGATAGAGGACATGGAGCTAGTTGTAGTGAGGACAGAGTACAGAGGAGGACGTCTCTGTGTGGACACCTGGGAACAGCGGAGACATTAAATGTCCACAGAGCGTTGGACAGGACAGATTAAAAACAGTTTCTGGTCCTTCGTCCTGACAGGACAGTGAGGACGAGGACGAGGTGGGGAACCTGCAGCTGGCCTGGGAGATGTTAGAAGTAGCTAAAGTCATCTACAAAAGGTGAGACTGAAGACAGGACTGTGGACGCAGGACCAACAAACTAACYTCTCATGTCCCCGTCCACCAGGAGACACACCAAGGAGGAGCAGCTGATGGCGGCTCAGGCCCACCTGAAGCTGGGTGAAGTTTCTGCTGAGTCAGGTACCAGCTGAGGCGGAGCAGGACTCCAGGTTTCTGTGGACCACTTTAAGATCTGGATGTGTCTCCAGGGAACTACAGCCAGGCCGTGGAGGACTTGGAGGAATGTCTGAGGCTGCAGCTGCAGCACCTGGAGCCGGACAGCCGCCTGCTGGCTGAGACCCACTACCAGCTGGGCCTGGCCTTCAGCCTGGACCTGCAGTACCACCGGGCCGTGGAGGCTCTGACCAGCTCCGCCCGCYTCATCAGGAGCCGCCTGAGTGAGACCTGCCCACATCCAGACCTTCTCTGTTGTCCCGCGCTGCCGTCTAACGGTCCGCTCTGTCCTCCAGAGAACCTGCAGGCGCTGCTGGACGGCGCCGAGGGTCCGGACGCTCTGCCCCATGAGAGGAAGGAGCTGCAGGAGCTGGAGGCTCTGCTGCCCGAGATCCAGGAGAAGGTGGAGGACGCCGCCGAGGGCCTGAAGACGGAGAGCGCCGCCGCTGAGGCWGTGAAGGAGATTCTGGTGGGTCTGAAGACTTTATGAAAGGTTCTGATCGTCCTCTGTGTTGATGCTGTGTGTAGGTTAGAACAAAACAAACCAGCTTCTGCTGAAATGTGTCCAAGTGAAGGCCTGCAGACCTGATCAGGTCCTTGTGGTTTTAATCTGGCCCAGCTGTAGTAAAACAGTTTGTAAGACAGAAACTTAAATCTGACTCAGCTTTAAAGGGATCCATGATTAGTTGAAACATTAAACTTTATTTAATAAACATTTATTTTAACTGTAAAAGAGACTGTAGGCTGGTTAGTTTTTATCATTTTTAAACTAAAAGTTTAAAAATATATTACCCTGACGGGGCCATTTTATTTGCGTGCAAAGCATTCTGTGTAAATGTTGACATCAACTAGGGCATCGATGTGAGGCTGCTAGCGAGCTATATCCACCCTGAAGGTTAATCTTGGACAATATCTGATGATCGACTCTTTTAAATGAAACCAGAGAGCGTTGACAG